TTATATATATATATATATATATGGATACTTTATCTCATTTGTCATTATACTTCATAAAAGATGCAAAAGGGAACACACTTAAGTTTGATAGCTACAGTGACTCTTACACCTAGGAGAAAACAGAGAAAGCTCTATCACATGGAGATCAGATTTCTGCACAAGAAGGAAACAAACACAAACAGCTGGGCTTAGTTCTGTTATTGTTTGATTTCTTAAATGTAAATTTGTCCCCATTCAGCACAAGTTGAAATGAAAAAAAATATTTACACAAACAGTAGTTTTAAAAGTCAGTGCTGGTTTTCCTTGTTACCACTTCACATACATTAGAGTTGATTTTTTCGAAGTCAAGCTTCCTTTTTTGCTTAGACTTGTAATAGAATTATAAATATGTGTTTGCAATGTGTGCAAACACATACCCACATATTGAAGTGGAGACAAGATATGCTGGAATTAGAGTATCTGCTTATATTCACTGAATTGGTGCACATGTACACAAATCCAATTCTCTAGCTTCCTTTAAAACTCAGTATGTCACTGGATGGATGTTTACACATTTGACAGGCTACTTTGCCTTGGAAAATCATCTGTGAAAGACAAAGAAAACAAGAATTGGTCTTCCTGAACCTTCTCCAGCATTCAGACAGCTATACCAAAAGTCATCCCTGCTGAGCTCTGTCACAGCTGTTGAAGGTACAACTATTCTGTGTCCCTCCATAAAAGCTCAGTAATGGAAATACTAACATAGACACACAAGCTTAAGCACAGTAAATCTGCTTATATTGCAAATTCATTTTTTTCCTAAAAATCAAGATTTACTTAAAAAAGGACACTATTCAAACTGAGCCTAAACATTTACCTTGTCCTCTTGACACTTGTCAACACTGAAATTCTTACCCTAAGAGCACCAAGCATGCATGATGCTTTTCAGTTCAAATTGATCCACAGCAGCAACAGCTAAAAATGAGAGTTAAAAAAACTCCCAAACAAAACAAAGTCCAACATTAGCCTTTTTATTAACTGTAAATGCACTGGTGTACACGAACTGCTCCACATAAATCATGTTCACCAAGTCATTTCGGAGAAATCACAGAGTGAGCCAAACCTCTGGAGGTTTATTTTTCCTGCTACAACAAAGATAAGAAATAGATCGGGCCAAAGAAACACAAACACGTCAGGACTTCTTCAGGCAAGAACCACAGTGGAGGGTAACTGTCAAAATGAGTAAATCTTTAAACATGGCAACTGTGGCAGTGCCCCTTTGGTCCCGATAGACTTCTCTATCAGCTGTCTGGAACAAAAAGTACCCACCACCATGTTCCAATTAAATGAGGAAATAAGCTGGCAGTGCCACTGACACTAAAAACATCTCAGAAGAGTGCAGCACTATCTTAATGTATCCAAACAATTAGGCTCTTCCAACTTGCTGCAATCACATCCCTGCAAAAAGCCAGCAACTTTTCTGATGAGTTTCCTATCAAACCTATTAAGCAAGGGATGGAGAAAGCATCCATAAACATGCAGGAAAGTTCTTTTGGTGTCACACTAGACAAAACATCCTTGAAACCTGGGGAAAAGGGCAGAAAATTCTCATTTTAAATTTATTACCAGCCACCATGATCCAGCATCTCAGCCTATGTGGAATCTTAACTATGTGGGTAGTAAGTTGATCTAGTTAAACACACCTGTATTTTGTCTTAGTACATGTTTTGAAGTTGAAGTAACAGTAGCAGGAACCCACTTCCAACGAAGGAAAAATAGTGTAACTAGCATCTTCATGGACTTTTGACATTAACACATAAAACCAGAGTGTAGATTTCTATAGAAACATGGGTTTGCAACTGAGTGAGAGGTAGTATAATACTTTGTCAGGTGGCTTCCCAGCAGTCACTGGGAAGAGATGCTCCTTTGGCTTCACACATTAATAAAGAAGTTACACCTATGAAGAAACATATCTCGCAGCCCTGCTGCCACTGTCAAAGCTGTTTATTTCTATTCTAAGCATTAAGAAAAATGGAAAAAGAGTGCTCTCAACTCTGACAACAGAAATACAACATTTGCTGTTCAGGGCCTGTCCTAGCAGTGGAACTCATCACGCCAATGACTTTGTGGGAAGCAGGAATTGCAATGTGCATTCAAGTCCTTTTTAGCAAGATGTTTAAGCATGTGTGAAGCACAAACCATTGAGGAACTCAACTACCCAGTTGGCTCCTGGGTAATGTGTGCCCTGACAGATGTATGTGTTCAGTAAGAATTTAATTTTGTCTGCACAGGTGTTATCAGCACCTTCATCCAAGGCAAAATGTTCTTTCCACATAAGCGTACTGTTAAAATCTTCAGTTACTTGAGGATGCTAAATAAAAGCCAAAATTACAGTTTTCATACTTCTGCCAACCCCATCATGACTACACGTTTTTCCACACATGCAGTCAAATAGTTAGAAAAAAGTATGCCAAAAGAGACACTCCAAAATAATCCTCCTTAAGTTCAGTTGAGTGACAGAACATGACAGCAACCTCCCTGGAAGGAAAGTGAACTTCTGATACACAGCTAATAAAACAAATCGCATTTGGAGACACTTAAGTTATTAATGCAGTCCTACCATCTGAAGGTGGTGACGCAAATGTAACAGTCACTGTTTCTGTGAGAACGTTTCCACTGTCTGTGGTCCACTGCAGCTGAAAGGAAAAAGATCTCAGTTCTCAGAAAGGGTGCAAGTTTGTCTACTACAGGAACATAGGCTCAATACAGGACCCATTAGAAAACACTGTCTAAACTGACATTTTCTTATTTACTTATAACTATGCATTTTGGGAGCTCTTGGTTTGCAAAAAAATACTGTAAAAGATTTTTTAACATGCACTATACCAGGAAGGCTAAAGTCTGCTCATGACAGTTCAAAGACTTTAAAAGAGAAAGTAGTCAAATCATTTGGCTAACTAACAAGTATCACCCACTCACATGGGCCAAGAGCAGTGTAGGAAGAGGGAAAAGACTGATGACACAGCATGATTTAACAGAATAGTTTGTCAAAGATGATTCTAAATCAGCAATTCCTTAGCAGTCAGCCTTATAATTGGGAAAACTAGGATCACTGTGCATCCCTTATAACTCAATATGTGGAAGAAAATTAAGGAACAACACATAAGAGTTACTGAGCATTCTGAAGTATCTACTTCATGCTTACTTCACTTGCTATAATGTGCATTTATTAATATTTACACATTCAAAATGTTGTGCAAGCCCTAACTTAGACTGCACCTGAGACATACTTCATCCCCATTTTTCAGAAAAGTACTAGTAACTTCTCCAAAACACATACAATGACAAAGCCATGAATAAAATGTTCTGACATTGCCAATTTTTCTACACCACATGGCTTCCAGTTCATGCAGTCATCATGAAGTGCTAGTATTGTATAATTTGTCAAACAACTAATAGCAATCTAATGCTGATGAGATAAATACTGAATAAGGTCAGAAGGTTTTATTCACGTTTAATCCAATCTTGCTCAGCCAGAGATTCCACTGAAAATATTGCTGCTGGAAATATAAAGTCATAGAGAATTTTGGATTAAATACAGCTAAGTGGTGAAAATTAAAAATAATATTTCCAGTATTTAACTCCAAAAATCAAAAAGAAACACAAAGGCTAACATACCGTTGCTGGGATACTTTCTGAATTACACACCATCTCACCATTCCTCAGGGATTTCTGCACTTCATGAATATGGTTCTTGATGTCATTCACAGTGGGGAAGAAGGACAGGTTATGTCTTTCTGGCACTTCATCAGGCTTGAATAATTCTCTTTCCACATACTTTCTGTCACATGTTAAAGGATATTAAAATATGTGTATTTAAAATATATTGTGCTATTTCCCTCTGTTATAGACATTGCTACCTTCTCCCTCCCCTTATTACAATGATGAGACAAGAGCAACCTAGACAATCTTCTGACCCAGTTCATTGTGCATCTGCTACAGAGTTTGGAATTAAAAATCCCCATTTAGTCAACTAACTTTAAAGAGAACAGCAGCTCTTAGGGGCTACCTACAACGAAACGGAAAGAGAAGACAAAAGCTGGGAAAACAGATTCTCATGCCATATGAGAAATACATTCAGTAATGCATCAGTACTGCCATTTAGTTGCAAACTAAATTAATCAAATGCAAAAGTAGATAACAGCACTACAGACTGAGAGCATGCCAGACAGTTCTGTACCTTAGTTGCTTCCTCACTGCATAGACCTGCTCTATTCCCTGAGACACCAGTTCTCGGATCTTGTCTGCCACTTGAGGATGAAGTCGGGAAGGCAGAGTACAGTTCTCATCTCTAACAACTTCCTCCTCCTCCTCAGGAGAAGACACAGAAAAATGGGACGGTGAAGAAGGGAGGCAGGAAGTTTCCATTTCATGATATTGGTGGGCTTGCTGAGTGGGTAACTGTACATACCACCTGGCAAGAAGGAACGAGTTTCTACACACAATTCTCAAGCAAAGGCAAAAACATTAGTCTCTTGGTTGTTCGTGATTGTCAGACTCTTCCTCCTAGTTAGAGTAACTTCAGTTTTTACAGGCCCTGAGCTGGAAGATATTGCCTTTCAGACCTCAGGGCCCCCTCACATTTTTCAATGCAAAACAAACCAGCTCAAACCTGCAAATACTACAACTATTTCTATCTATTCCTTGCACGAAAACATCTGCTGAAGTTCCACAGCTTGGCGCATAACACATTTACCAAACTAAATACTCCAGAGCCACAGAAGTGTTACTGACATCGTGGGATTTTTTTTACTATTGATATTAAGCAAGAGCCTTAATAAATTGACTAGGTAAAAAATAAAGCAAACCAAGCAAATTATTGCTCTTTTTTGCTTCATTTGTCAAGATAAAGAAAAAAGTGGAAGTTTCACCTGAGAACACCGCCAGCATCTATCAAATTCTTCTTCAGCATGTTGAATGCTTTCTCCTGCTCCATTCTTATGATTTTCTTGTCAATTTTAGGGTCAGTAGGAACTCGGTATTCCGGAAACTTTTGAACCTTTTTAATATAGATCCTTTCAAGGGGTGGGAGGAATAAAAAAATAAAATTCTCATTCAGTACACTTTGCCCTCAGGGGGGAAGGCAAAAAACTCACCTACTTTGATCAAATATTAGTATAGAAAAAGTTCAAGCAGAGTGTTGCAAGGGGTGAGGAGTCTCTAAGAGAGCCATAGAATTGTTAAGATTAGTAGATGGATGCAGATGGATACAGATAGACACACTTCAGTTCCAGTCTGGAAGCCATTGAGTCAGAGTGCACACCAGCAAAAAATCCTCTGTCTCTCAGTATAGTAAAAGCACAGCACCATTGCTGAACAGGCTGTAGTTCGCCCAGCTTGAAGCCAGACCTGAGCACATACATACTCAGCTACAACTGTCCAGGTAAACACACTCCTGGCTCAGTAAAAATTGAACAAGCACCCAGGAGGATGCTCAAGGACAAGGAAAAAAAACATTAGTGTTGGATAAGGAGAAAGTCCCCAGTGAACAGGAAGAGCTGTAACTCCTTCAGCAAACAGGAGATCTGCTAAATTAGGATTGACTGATGTAAGTGCAATTAAAAGCCCAAAGGAAAAACAACAAATAAGATGACAAAGTTTTAGGACCAAAAGTGGTCACAATAATTCACTAATGCACAGTTAGAGAATGATTCCCACTTGTATTTCATATCCTCATGTACCGCTACTTTGCATCCAGGCAATCTATCAAATCTCAGCCTTATTCAGTTTAACAGGACAGCATTTCCCCTTTCCCTCTAAATGAGTCTCAACCTCAATTTATCAAGGACATGAAGCTAAGAGCTACAGTGCACATCAGCTACCACCCCCAAACAGTGCTCTGTCGAGCTCACAGAAAGAACGCTTTCATAGGATGCTGAGTAGGTCTTCCAGCTTTACAGACAATTCTTACCTTGCTGGACAAGTGGCTTTGTACAGATGGCCGGAGGTGCTTTCCTGCTCACCAGCTTTTTTGGGCTGGAACCCTTTCCTCCTTGGCCCATATTGGCACTCCATTACAATGGCTCTGCTTCCTGGGAACAGAAAGTAATGTGCTCTATTTATTTGAGCAACCACTGAAGCCATTACTGTAAAACAGTAACTACAGAAACAATAAGACTTCCAAAACAGTTATTTCTGTTTACCACCAGACTCCCTAGAAGGCAGAACACTTAAGCGCAGCAAGCATTTAAATACAGTGCAAATTCTTCTCTCTCAGCACGTAAGAAACACGGAGCATTTTCAAAGCATTTCCCAAACTTATTACACCTCACAACACTCCTGCAATGTATATGAAGACATAATATTGGATTCTGCCCTTGTGAACACCAGTACTTTAGAAGATGAGCAGCCTTGCAAGTTACCAAAGCAGCACAATGCTGGTAATAAGCATAAGAGAAGCAGAATCCCCTAAATAACTGAAAAAATCCACATCTGAAATCAAAGGTCAGCAGCTACTTCCAGTTTCCTGTCTTAAATCAATACTTCAGACCATGCTGTCCCATAAATTCCTACTTGCAAGTCTGACCTGTCTTATCTGCTAAATAACACTGTTTTAGTGTAGCATACCCCCACAAAACCAGACAGGCTTAAACAAATATTGCTTAGCTCTAAACTGGAAGTGACTTCTTCCAGTCAGACCTCTAACAAAAGGGGTAACAGGCATAGCATTAAAGTGTTCAAGAAAGGAACTTCTTCCAAATTTCTTCCACATCATGTTTAGTTATCTTTTATTTATAATTCATATACCCCAGTATGCATGCAAGGAGCTGCCTAAACCACAAGTGATATAACCAAAACCTTTTAAAGTATCACAACAGCAACATAATGTGTTTCCATAAGATATCTAATGACTTACTGCCTTAGAGTGTGACATTAAAAAATTAATAAAAAATATTTTAAAAAATCAATGCAAATAAAGAAATAGGAAATTTAAAAGATAATTATGTATAACAAACATATCTTGTCTTTTTTAAAAACAAACTTAAAATTGAAGTTCTAGGATTGAAAAGATTTCAACGGCTTTAAACTAGTCCTTGCTAATATCAATCTCAAGAGCAATTTGATGGGGCCCTTGTTTTACAAAAGTATCAACTATCCAAAATTCTTATTAAAAATAACAAACAAGATTTTGATGATTAGTGCATGTTTTACACTATAGGGAGCTACACAACTTCTCTATATTTCCCCATGGATGAAGCACAGCAGGGCAGTTATTTCAGATTGGTTCCACTTATGCAGAAGGGATAAATTCCTCGAGAACACCACTTTTGTCTTGCACAGTTTAGAATTCAGTTATTTGGGATTTAAACTGCAGTTCAGTAAATCATATTTACAATCTCTGCTCTACAGGTGTAAAGGATTTTAATGAATTTCATAGGGAGTTATAAATCAAATCTAAAGGTATTGGAAAAGGAACATGTCAGAAACATATGTAATGCCTGTTTGGGGGCCTGAGCAAAACAAAAAATATTACAACTTAATTATCTGAGTCTCTGTTAACAGTTTACAACATGTTAAAGAAAAAATCTACATGTGTTTTTTGCTCTAAATATCTTACTGTGGGGCAACTCATTTATCAGGCAGATCTTACAGAAAACTGAAGATGTCTCATATGCATTTTGGGGAAAAACAAAAAAGTGTAAGTTGTTTTGGCTTTGTTCTTAGCTTTCTTATACCTCATGGATTATGGCTGAAGCTTTAAAACTGGTGGTAACATTTTACTTTTTCAGTTACTTTCAAGAAAAAACCCCAAGCACATAACCTACATTCCAGTCATTCATGATATCTATGTAACAATTAAAAACTGTTCATTCTGTATCCAAATGAACTCTCAGTAATTTCACATATGCATTGCATCAGCTACATATATAATTACCAACCTGTGAAGTCTGCACATTCATTTAAAATAAAAAAAAATAATCTGTCTGCTGTGGTATGTTGATGTTTATTTTTCTTTTAAAATTTCTTCAACTTTTTTTAAAGGTGCCATTTAAACAGTTGATTGACTCCTGTGGAACAAACTCTTCAAAGGATCTCTAAGTTAGGCAAGAATACTCAAACAAGCTTTTACCCTTATGACAACTTCCATGTCCCAATAGAGCAGATGGGACCTCCATCTAAAGATCTCAGCACAAGAATCCCCATCAAATGGTGCTTAGCTAATTTATTTCTAAAGAGCAAAAGGAATTAATCACAACAAAACATAAGCCTGTAGTTTCAGGGAAACAAGCTCCTTCAGACTGTGTCACCTAAGCTGCTCTTTTTTTATGGTTGTGCTTTGACTTTATCAACACTAAGGAACAGCATAAAGATCCTTCTTTATGGCCAGTTGGCAACTGACATTGAAATTTTGAAAGTAGTTATTAAAAGAAAAGTTAGTTACCTGCATTGACAAAGGGGATCCCATCATATGGGACATACTGAGATTTCCACATCAACCGTGTGGCGGGTTTGGCTGGGCTTGGAGACTGGCGTGTCCCCCACACACTTTGTGTTTGCTGCTTGTGTAGCGTTAGGACACTCTCTAATTCTGTCTCGCTCACACAATGGCCACGGTACGAGTCCCCAATTTTCTGTATGGAAAGGAGGTGAAATGATAGAATTATTCACCCAGCTGACTGCTGAACATTACACAAGAAAACAAAAGCAGTCAGGGACTCTGGCAGGTGAGGACACGGACTCAGATTTTTGGCATTTCTTGTTTTCCTCCCCCCACTACTATCCTCTCAAATAGATTTACCATAGGATCTAACAACAGAACACTCCCCACTGAGGTAAGGAGTTTGTCAGCCCTCCAAGACCCTAAGTACACCAAGAACCGCTGAAAAGATTACAGTTACTGACAACTCTGATTTCCACAGGACAACGTCACTCCTGTTGTTTTCCCAAACACATACTTCACTTGCAGCCACGTCCTAGGCAAATTTGTCTTCAGTGAACATTTTCACTTGAGTCCCACAGAGAATCTCTGAAGCTCTAAAAATTGGCAATGTATCTACTTCAACACACACACGCTGCACTGAGCTGGAGCAGAATACACCTGCTTGTACCACCAGTAACTGTCTCATCCACTTAGTGCACTAACTTGGAATTGAGTATCTCATGTAATATTCCTCCCAGTCTTCAAGGCATTCGTGATTCTCAACATCACACAGAAACATAATATACCAGATTTGCCATGTGCAAAACGATGGTGGTTTCAATGAACTCTGCTAAGCTCTGGGCAACTCCAGAGAAACTGCATCTAACCTGATGCAAAGTAAAAAACAAAACAAAACAAAAAAACCCCAAACACACACACAAACAAAAAACCCACAAACAACTTGTCGACTTTGCAGCATCCCCCATGACAACTGTTCAGCCACTCAGAGCCATCACAGCTGGTTCAGTCCTGGTATACCAGTGCCAGTCATCAAGCAGTGAAAGCACTGGGACAGAGAAGAGCGTTCCATCCAAATTCAGAATGCCATGCTCGTTTCTGTTCATACGCAGCTCAGGATCAGGCTGATCAAACAGTTGGAAGTAACACCCAGAGTAGTTTGCCAGCTCAGTATTACCCCTATCTATAGGGCAAACCCATGGTGAATGAGTACTAAAGTCTGATAGATCTATTTTGCCACCTTCAATGTTTAAATAATACTGACAACAAAAGCAGCAACAGTGACTCTCCAAGATTATTATGATACAAATACTTTACTGACAACTGCAGAAAATCTGCCTCAGTCACTTAAGAAAAGCAAAATGTATGTGGTTAGCAAGACCTACAGTCAACAAAGAACAAACACCTTGTGAATGAACCGGGCCAGCACCGTGCTGCTGCTAGCGCAAGCTCAAAAACAACAGGTTATGAATGCGCCGGCTGCATAAGTCATTCGAGATACCACTTGCTTACACTTCAGCAGCTCACTGCACTGCAAGCACACTGCTCCAGCAGTTAAGCAAGCGTACGCAGGCTGCACTCACACAGCTGTGGTGAGGAGAAGCTGGCAATTGTTTGGCCAGAAATAAGTAACATTTCTGTCCAAAATCTGATCTGAAAAATCCAGGAGAAGCAAAGCAGCCTCAGAAGTACCAGAAGCACCTTCTTTACAGAAACATCCCAGATGCCACCTTTCGCAAGAGAGATAACAGTACCACTCCACACAGTGAATACTGCATGACCAGCACTTTTCCCCCCATATCTTATACCCGTCACTATAAATAGGTCATTGACCTGATTCTAAGGAGATGAGAGAAGACTAATAAAACTGTTGTGCCAGAAAAGTAGTGATAACAGCTAAGGCGCTGTCTCCTATTCTGGCTTTACTTCCGCACAAGATAGATCATTTTCCCAAAATTGGTGGGAAGAGAGGAGAAGAAAATTGTACGGCACATAGGATCCCTGCTCTCTAGGAGCTTCCCAAGTAGGAGCAAACGGACAAATGAGACCATCTGTTCCACACAAATAAATGAACTTAGCTTTGTACAGTTGATTAATTAGTGCAGTTTTTAATTACACTCTATTTCAGTATGCTGATACATGCTGGAAATGTATTCTGATCAGACTGCTGAAAACTAAGTAGGTTATAGAAAAATAACTGTTTCTTTTAAAATCCTCTTTTTATTAACAACGTAATTACTTTGAAGTAATCTGATATTCTCCAATCATTTAACTCCAGCCAAGCTTCAAGCCAAAAAGAAGAGCAATTCCTTTTCTACCCCCTGGCCTCATCTCAGCAAGGGTACATAAAAGCTTACACTAAAGTGCACGCATCAAGACTGCAGTCTTCCTCGAGTGAACTGACAGCAGCAGGATACCAGAGGCATTACACTGTCTAGGCACAGCAAGCGTAAGCTCAACATTTCAAGGCACTCAGGGAATCAACACCAAACACAGAGCTTAGTGCTACTTTTGGACAGCTGCAGCATACACTGCTCTGTGTTTGCCTGCAGTACTAACTGCCAAAGGAGTCATTGCCCTTCAGTGTTCAGCCCTGATCAGCTCCCTGGGATATACAATTGGCAGCATGTACAGAGGCTATACCATGGCTTCACCTGCTGGCACCTTCTGTGAAATTCACCCAGACCTCCATGCTGTTTAAGCTTGTTTCTATTCTGGCAAGTGACTGAAAGAGTGGTATTTTGAGTTGTCACATTTATCTGCACTTCTACTAGATCTCCAAATTCCAGTTGGACCCTTCTATCCTGTTACTAGTAACAAAACATTCTGCAAGATGGTCACACCTGAAAGATAAATGACATCTCAAAATCCCATTGTCTCTAGTCTGTGCCCATGAAAAGGCACATGCATCCTAGCAGTCTCCAGTGGATTTCCACTGTGTAACTGACAAACTCAGCAAAGCAACTCTGCTGATAACACACAAAGAGGAAGAGAATTTGGGTTATTCCTCCTTGGATGGGCTGACTCTGCAGGGAGAATAGCAACTTTTTTTTTTTTTTTTTTAAAGGAACAAGGAGGTTTAACATGTACAGGCAATAGTTCTGCTGAACAGCAGAGGCAGATGTTTATATCCTCAGAACATTCAAACAGACAGTATTTTGATTTCCTTTTCTCTAAAAATAAGAGCTCTTTTATAAATGCTGCTACTGTGAATTTTAAACACAGCAGGTGAAATTTCTTGTAATAGATAGACCAAGCAGATGATAATACAAGTCCTCCTATAAAATGAAAACAATAAGAAATGATTCAGATAAGCTACGCTGATGTTAAGACAAGAAAGTATGTGCCACATAGTGCTAAAAACACAGTGATAGGGGTCATATATCTTACTGGACTGTAACAACTAACTGGCCATTTGAATTAAGTGACTCTTTCTGTGAAAACAGTACCTCCATCATGGAAGAATTCATGTTATTAATTTTCTGACCTCTTAATGTTTAAGTGAACCAGCTAGAGAAGCATGAGTTTTCCTTTAAAAAAGTATTATGAGAAAGTAAAACAAACATCTATTAGGAAGATTCTGATAGGAGGAGGAAGGAGTAGGTGATCTCTCAAGAATGTTCCCATCTCCCCTCCCTTCCTTTTAAGTGATTTATGATGCATTCTAGCTGTTGATATCATCCCAGTCACCAGGACAGTTCTGCTGACTTCTAACAATATGCAAATAAAGAGACAGTTCTGTTTAGGTCAAAAGCCAGCTCAGGGAATAAAGACAGAACATTTTTTTAACAAAAGAGAAAATAAGCACAAGTATCCATGCTGGTACAAAAACAAACAAACAAACAACTGTGAGAATATCTAGAATAGAAATCCTTAGTAAAACACTGACATTAAGGTGCTCTCATAAATCCCAGACTTGACCCTGGCAAGTCACAGGGATTTTGATTTCTAAGTGACAACACACACTAACAGGAACAGTTACAGACTTGGGCCTTACAAAAGTAATTTTATTCTTTAATTGATGGATTACTAAGGGCAACAAAAACCAGTGGTTTTAAATGTGCTAGTAGTACCATTACTATTTCATAATACCAGGAAACTTCAAACAACTTCTACAACTATGAACACCATTCCTTTCATGGAATAGGATCAATATCTTAGATCTAGATGGTAAAACATCAAGTCAGAATTCTTTGCAGCTCACCTCACAGTTCCTGAGACGGCATGCCCATGCAGGCGTATTTGGCGGCAACGGCTGAAGAGGGATAGGAAAGGGATCTTCCACTACCCTAAAAAAAAAAAAAAGTAAAAGTCTATACAGACATCCAGGAAAGCAACAATTTAGTCTAAACTACAGGTAACATATCAAATAAGTGCATTTTATGTATAACCTACAGCATATGATCACACTATAGATATTGTATCAACTTGCCTTAAAAACCTGGGGTTCATTATTTCATTGTTTTAATATACAAGAAACTCTGCTCCCTCAAGCTTCAACTTTCCCTGCAGTTCCTTCGCTGGATCACTTTCAACTCTTGGTTGGCAGTATCTGCTTATTTGGAGTAATTTCAGTAATTTGCACCATACTATTTTAAATGCCCTCCTATTGCTCTGGACAGAATATATCCAACTCTCTCTGCAACACATGTACTTTTAATTGCTTTTTCCCCTGCTTTGGCACATTGAAAAGCTGCCTGCAAACACAGTTAGCTACACATTGCTCACTAATACTAAGGGTTCATAATCTCTGTTCTATGGTAATTTTGTGATAACCACTGCAGCAAAAACAAACTGCAAGGAAAAAAAAGTACTAACAGTGGATCAAAGTGATTGTTCATCCTTGTCCTGACCTACCTGGTGGTTGGGTTTTTCGATACGGTGAGAGATGCCTGTGGATGTAGAATGTAACTGCTTGCACTGTCTGCTATAGCAGCCACCGCCGCAGTCTGCAAGTTCCCATCACCACACTTCCCTTCCGAAACATCTTTGTAAAAATAAAACATCCTCCTGGTTAATAACTGAACTCAGAATGGGGAAATGACAAGCTATGATTAAACTTTGTGTGTTGGAAAAGCAAGCATTTTGCCATATGAAATAAGATTTCTAGATGACAAAGTAGTTTAATAGTTGTGAATCAATACTCAAACTCTAGGCACACATATGAAGTTACACTTGATAAGGTTTTTTGTACTCAGGGACTTTGGTAATCATGCTACTGTTAATGAATACTACCACAACAAAGCACATAATCAGAAGAATTTGCAAAAATTACTCTACTTTACATTTCCACAAACTCATGTAGAATTGCACAACTATTTTGTTCAGCTGCAAATCACACACTTGTTACTTTTAAAAATAAGAAAAAAGGAGATTATGATACTGCTTTGTACTTAGAAAAAGAACACCTAAATAAGAAAAAACAGGCCTCTTGTAATTGAATCCGACATATTGTTAGAACAAATGTTTTAGCCTTTCTTGATAACAGGGAGCAATCCACAAGCCAAAAAATACTGTTAGACTAAAGCCTGTGCGTATAGTTAAACAAAAACATAATGGAAAACTGTGAAAGCAGACATTTGATACTTTGGTCTCAACATAAAGAAAACTGAGCTCTCTTTAGATGTGGGATTTTTTGCCCTTCAATTCTGAAAGCTTCTTTCCTCCATCCCAAGAAAGAGTGATAAGCTACTGACTCAGTACAGAAATCGCTCCACTGTAAAGTGTGTGCCAGAACACCCCTAAGTGTGCACCTCAGAGTAACACCACTCTGGCTCAAAGCTAAGAGCACTGGTTCCTTCTACATAGCCATGCCCTTAAGACACTAAAATCTACTCTGAAGCCTGTGCCATTTCCTGCATTACCACCACCTGCAGGCAAGTGAAATTCAAGGGCTGACAGTCCATTCTTCTTTCCCTTTAATCTCTATAGTCAACTGCTGACCAGTCTTCCTAACTGTCTTTTAAAGATCAAATAACTACAAAGTCTTTTACACAGTAAGTTTCTAGGAAAAAACCGCCACAACTAAAACTAAAAAAATCCACAAAAACCCTTGTAGCACTATTGCAGAACATGTATTCAAACACTATGAAACAGCTATTTGCAAAGAGGGAGCCCCATGTAGGGTGAAAAATGGGAATCCAAAAGTAGTATTCGCCATTGCAACTTATTGTCTACAAAAACTAGCAGCAATTCTTTAGTAACTGAAAGCTCACAGTCAGCTTAAAGTCATATAAGACTACACTGTAACCAAACAGTGGTCTTACCCACCCCCAAGAGCAGGTGGAGAGAGCAGGAAGGATGAGCATCAGGGTAGGAGCAAGCCTTTCAATGCAAGGTCATGAAACCATATTCCAGCTGTAAGTGAAAAGGGCTGGATCATGACTTGAATCCCAACTCATTTTTTCTCGCCACACAGCATCAAGACTCTAATCTTACCTTTGAGCTCTCAATCCACAGGAACACTTAACTACTGCTCACATTTTGAGAATTTTATACAGAAAAACGCAAAAAAAAAAAAGTTTAAAAAACCTTGGAAAGTTTAACAAATTTTAAGCATATCCTGCATGATCTCTTTTTGTCAGAGGAACACATCCCCTCAAGTCCCACAAGTTAAACTCACCCTGCGTGCTGGTCACATCCAGAAGCTGACCTTGAGGAATAATCACTTGGGCCATTCCTGGCTGGGCAGAAGGAATGACATGCAGCACCTGCCCATTTTCTGACTGGCTGGCAACAATCATCTGTAAGGCAATCACACAAAAGCATGAGTGGCACTAGTTTGTATGGTGATCATCATAGAGCATGACTGGGCTTGCTTATTACCAGAACAGGAAATATCTTGGTTGGAATTAGGGTCTGTAACTTAACTTGATTTCACATCATAAGGAAACTACCTATTTACTGTCAATTTCTTAAAATTACTCCCCCCCTTTTAAAATAGCCCTTTAATTGATTAAAGGAGAGAAAAAAAACAACTTGCGGGATTCTACAGTGAATTACATATTTATTTGGAACTTACAACACTACTATTAAAGCTATCAAAAACCTGAAAGCCATTCATAGTTGGATTAACTGTAACCCCATTCATGGACTAGCAGAATTAATCACAACACGCAAAAATTTTGACCTTTACTCCTAAGAAACTGACCTCATGGGCAGTATTTTATGCAAAAGCAGATAGAAGAAAAGCTCAAGACTTTAACAAAAAAAAAAATCTCCTAGAATTCTGGAAAACTTAAACAACTCCTTATGGTAAATTTTCCCATAATTACCAAAGAGTTGCTCCTAACAATGTTACAAAACCTAGAATAACATAAAATATCATCTTGTTTCTGATTTCTTAGACTTTAAATGGGTGAAGCATCTTTAGTGCTAGTACAACACATGCCAAAAACTCTCTGGGTGAGAGCGCTACCTTTTTAAAAATAAGCGTTAAGAATTACAAAGCAATGTTTTAAGCAAATTAATTGGGGGGAAAGGACAGACATAATGGGTTAGCTTATTGCTAACATTCCAATCCCCTCAAAAAAAACCACGGAGAGACTTATCCAGGGAATATAGAGAAAGCAGCAGTGGTAGAACTACGGGATCTCATCACACAATAACATCCAGGCTTGATAATGACAAAAGACATAAGTTGTTCTTTGGAGACAGGATTTGCCTACCTGAGGAAGGGCAACTGGAGCATGAACTGAACCACTGAAAAGCTTCACCATATTGCTAAAGTCTGAATCAGCTGTTGTTACAACAAGCAAGCACCATGTAAAAGAGTTCATGTAAAAGAGCCCCCTCGTCTGTGAATAAACCACCTGCCCTGTTTTCAGACACACTCACCATCTGTGCACTGGGCCCTCCTAGGGTCTGCAGCTCGTAGAGAGGCTGCCCAGTTTGGTCTACCAGGTGGAACTCCTCTGCAGAGCGAGGCTGCGGCTGGGATGGCCGCACGGGTGCAGCCAATGATGGAGAACTGTCCAAGAGGCGTACTGCGATGGGCAAGGCTGTGGGAGAGTCACTCTGTCCAAACAACAGATCCCTGGGATCCATGCAGGTTAGATGCTTTCACAGAGGAAAAACAGTAAAATGTACTTTAATCTTGAGCAGCAATTTCTATTAAAAAAAAAGAAAAAGAAAAGAACATTTAAAACCAGTGTGCTGTCATTTGACCAACGCAAGAAGGAGTGCAATTTGTTGTATCTCTTGCAGCAATCACACAAACAATTCTGATGTTTCTGCTACAAAAATTTGTAAACCACAAATCCAAAGAGTGGGGAAAAATGTTTCTAAATTTAATATTAAAGTCAGACCTGGGTCAAATAACCTTCTCAAAAATTCTACAGGTATAAATCTTCCGTGCTGAAACTCTCTACTGTAAACTACATTAGAAAAGCAGCAACAAATGGCACTAGCATAGAGACTATAAGCACACTACTAAACCACTACCTGAATGATGCTGTATGTTAGCTGAAGTAATCTGCAGAAGAAAATTTATGCACAGAAATCACTCTGACTGGGAATATCTGGCAATATTTGATAATAAATACATTAAAGACCCTTCTTCCCCAATGCCTACATAAATGTCCTGTGCCCTGGATTCTTATTCGCCACACTTGGTCACTAAGACATTTGACCTGATTTTCAAGTGTTCTGAACCCCTCCTACTCCAAGGCATGTCATCAAGTATTCTTTTATTAAAGGATTTTTTTAACACAATAAACCATATATTTCTTCAGCACTATAACAGGAGGTATTAATATGATTACTAAAAGTTGTCATTTCATGTAACATCTGCATATTCATCAGTTCAAAACTGAATGGCTTAAGAATCCAAGGGAAAGAACTTTTGTACTTTTTCAAAAGACACAATGTATTACTATAAAGGCAAGAAAAAACACATTGATTAAATATCATACTGTAAATTAGTCAGAGGGAATGTAAAGGAAGCATCTACAAAGACAGGACATTCATATCTCACCTGAAAAACCTGATCATTTGTTTCTGACTCTCCTGTACTATTACAGTTGCCTATGAACAAATCATTAGTGCCTTCCATAGCAATGTCACAATCAGCTCCATTTTTTTCCATTACAAGATGACCTGGAAAAGTTACAAAAGTTTATTGCAGCCTTCCATACTTTAACCTCAACCAAGACATTGCTGGAGGTTTTTTTTGGTCTTACAACTTTAGTCTTAAAAGTTCTAACACCGCTGCAAGCAAACAGCAAACCCCTCAAGAAATCCTTGCCTCTTTATCACTTTATTACTCACTGCAGAAAAATTTCAGTGCATTGCTCCAAGAGTATAGTTTAGACTTTTGTATAAGACAATTTGCTTGACTTGATATTGTACACACAGACACAAAACACACATACACACTCATGATTTTCATCTAAATATGTCCACAAGCACTCAACTTACAACCACACACATCTAGAGAACACTTGATATTTAAAGATATGCCAGCACTGCTTTACAAAAATATTAGTCATCTACTTCCATAATCAACAGACAGGATTCGCATTACCCAACTGTGTCATGCAGCCATCCTGAAGTAAATTACATTTGTTTTAAAGGGTTATAAAACAACATAAAAATGAAATAAAAATACTATTGTTAGTCTACAGCAGCAAGCTTTGGGCAGGAAAAACACCAGGTATCTGAAAATTTGGCACGAATCCTGGTGAAAGACAAAAAGGTGGAGCTCCTGGCACTTTGGAGATTTGCCTCCTATCCCAAAGAAAAATACTTCAAGGAGCTCAGCTGCCCACTATAAACCTTCAAGCAAACAGATAACATTGGACAATGAATTGCCACATCCACAGGATAATGGTTTTACCCAGACAGTACACCCTTTAAAGCGGTGACCAATCCTAAAAATTCATAAGCAATGAGACAAAATGACAAATTAACTTGGCCCCTACATTACTAGAGTACATATATACTAGACTACACACATAATATGCCAAACTGAATAGAAGAAAACTTAATTCCTGCAGTTTAGGGTGAGGGAGGGGGAAAGGTGTTCAGGATTTTTCCCTTCAATATTAATTTTAAAGACAGGCAGTGTATTAGCACACAACTCCTACGAGCTTTATCTTCTTCACCACACCACATAGTAAATTCCTTGAGATGGACCTCGTCAACTGTGGTTATTTCAACCATTTACAGCTTTTGTGAGGAGAATGTAAAAGGCTAGTGAGTGACTTGAAAAGAACTATACAACCCTGGAAGCACAAATTTATTTTGCTTTGCAAAGATATGAAGGACCACAAGCAAAGTAAATCCACATCTCCTCAGCTTTTGAAGCTGAATAAAGCATCCTGCTGATACAAACATCATTGTGAAGATAAGCTGCTCATATGCTCAAAATACTAAACACTTTAAAGCAGATTTATTTTTCCATTCAAATTTCAAGTGATGACACTCCGAACCAAGTTCCAAATGAAGTTACCTCACATTTACCAAATATTTTGTAGCTTTGGATCTGAGAACAATTATGAGATGTTTCAGTTAAAATGTCTGAAGCATGTTAGCAGCAAATGAAAATAACAGAGAAAACTAGATTTCTTCATCACTCAACCATTTCCCTTCACTTAAAAGACGTAAAGAAGACATGTCAGTTATGTCAAAGCAGCACATTTAATTCTTTGAGATAAACTGAAGAAGTTTCTTCCAGGGATACTGATGATGCATACCCTGAGTGTGCTGGAACTCGACTACCAAACCAAGGACGGCCCAAGACAGAACCAAGAATCGGGACAGACCAATGGCCCAAGTAGCCCAATAGCCTGTATCTAACACTGGTTAATAACAAAGCTCAGGGAAAAAATGACAGCAGTAGGGTAAATATAGTGTGATACTTATCCAGCTTCCTTCTATAAGTAGCCCAGAATTATCTGCAGTTTTATCTTTGTGTTTAAAAAATGCCCTTGGCATGTTTTTGCCCTGTGACTTTGTCCAATTGCTATTCTAACCCAAGCAAACCATTGGCACACACATCACCCCGGACAATAAACGTCATGGTTTAACCATCCAAGTTTCATTAACCTAAGTGCTGTGCAACCCCAAACAACAGAGTTTTGGGTATTTTTTTCTGTCTTAAAGAAATATACTTTTATGGATTCTTACAACTACATACATAGTTAATATATTTTGTAGTTGGGTAAATATTGCTAACAAATTCCTCAAGACAGTTAAATGCTGTATACATACATATGTATGGATATTCTGTCATGAATGAGTAAATAACATACACACATCTCCTCTTTTCATAACCACTTTACCCAAGTGCCACAAACATTTCCAGTGTAACAACGTTGTACCCCACACTTAACAAAAGGTTGAAGGAGAAACGTGGAAGTTTACTGTTAGTGTAAAACAGGATCAACAACTGTATCCTCAGTGCACATATCAAATGGGCAGCTCTCCATGCCTCAGCTTTAGCCTTAACGCAGTTCCACTCAAACCGCTCTACAGGCTGCTCTCCGTGAAGTTCACCACTCCAAGGCCGTTTCCAACTCAAGGGTTAGTGCAGTTTAATGCCATAGGACTGCTTCCTTTGCCCTGGCTCCGTTTGGGAAGCACTTTGCTCAAAATAAAGGGAAATCTATGGCCATTGCTATCCTTGGTTCGACTCTACCAAGAGAGCAAGCAGCCACAGAAACTGCTAGCAGAGGCAAACACAATAACCATCATGAGCATTTTATGCAGGGTCTTACAGACAGGATCTTCAAGAGAGTAAACATGATGCACTGCAATCAAGTCTACGCATTACCATCAGTGGTTCGATTCCAAAGAAAAATGCACTGATAGTTCAAGATCGTTTAGCAAAACAAAAAAGGCAGTCAGATCTCAATTTATTTACCCATCAAGAACTCCCATGATAATACAGCTGCCCAAGCCAGGGGCACCTCTTGCATACGCTGGGTTCTCACTGACTGTCATCCACAGACACAACTTGTGTAACATCAGGAACTCCCAACAGGTTTTCAACGCCCACTCTGAGCTGAGCCTCTCTCATAACAGTTGCAGTCTCCTCTCTAATCCAAAAGCCCACATAGTTTGTTAATATATAAACTTTTAAAGACACTAACAGAAAAGTCAAACTAGCATTACTTTAAAATCCTATTATTGTCCAGTCACACCTCTACCCTGCCTTACAGATTTCTGTATTTTCTTGCCTCCAATTTTTTATTCTATAGTAATACCTATACCTACCAGCTACAAGCAGTGTACCCTAAAAGTACACCAGTTCTAGACTGGCCTAATTTTAAGGTTTTCTATGAACGCTTGCTTCTGCTTTCCCTCAGTTAGGAGGCCTCCTTATGAAAACAACATGCAGCCAGACTCCAAAAGGAAAACCTGCCTTTCAAAATCCCAGAGCCAGTTATTTTAACACCGAGTCGATCGTGCAACATTTTGGTTATAAGAAGAAACCTAAGCTGTAAAAACCAGATGAGTCCTTTGTGATAATAAGCACATTCTACCTAGGAGTACTCTGCTGGGGCTGGAGGGAGGGCATTCTCTTACATTTTTCAAGCTTCAAGTTTTCAATGCATACCCATTAAAAATAAAATTAATTAAAAAAAATCAAAGCTTGACTGTTTAAGTTCATGTTTTTTAGCATTTCTGACAGCAATATTCCCCATTCTGGTTTTAATTTATACTTCATGACAAGAAATACATACAGTCAAATGCCTCACCAACAATCTTTTTTGTGTTTTCCATGAAACGTTTCAGAGGTTTTATAAAAAGATTTAAGAAAATTGCACAGCTTACAACAATTAAACACTCTCTCTGAAAAAGCTACCTCTGATGACATTTCTCTACCACCATTGGTGAAGGTCAGAAATTACAATGAAACATAACAGGGAGAAAATTAGGGCATAGCAATACCCTTAAGTAAATTAGTTACAATTAGCTTTATATTAGCTTGTACCAGGTTTGAGATTTAGCTCACCTCTGTCATGGAAGAGCAGGCAGATACTGTTAAGAAAGCACAGAAGACCTGGGGACTCCTACTTAAAAGGCTTCTCAAGTAAGTCACTTTTGTGCAGCTAGCACAAGTATCTGGAAAACGCACCCGTGTCAATTACACTGACAATGCTAACATTTTTTAAGTACGCTTAAGAAATAGATGAGATTTCAGAGTCTCACAATACATCAAGGCTCCACAGCTGCCTGCTCCAACAAGTTGCCCCAACCTGAGTCACCACACATGGAAAGCTCAACCGTTTCCTGAGAGGCCACAAGTAACTGTCAAAAAGGCGGGAAAAAGATACATAAAGCAAGCACAGAGAGGTACTCACACAAGCACCCTTCTCCCAGAAAAAGCAAATTCACTTACAGCTTCTTTTAGTGCCCACTGCACGTTGGGTTTATTACTTTTAATAGGAAGTTTATTGTCGATGTGTAACTTTACACGCAAAGAAACACAACCCAAGTTACGCCAAGACACCATCAGCAGCAAACAGTCCCACACGACAGCTCGCCGGCTCCAGCAACGCCGCAGCCCCACACGGGAAC